AGTCTCTGCTGCCTATCGCTGGCTTGAGAATCAGCTGTACACACATGCCGTGATTGTAACTGACTCACAGAGCATACTGAGAATGGTGAAAACATGCACGCTTCGTGCAGAGTGGCAAGTATCACTTCAGAGACCCTGGGTAGTTTGCATCCTTTGAATATTTTCTCCAGGTCATGCCGGTGTGTTGGGAAATGAGCAGGCATATAAACTGGCTAGCTCTGCACCACTTGGTGGTGAACTGGTGTATGTCAATTTAGATATTGTGAGGACCCTTTGGGATCGAGTGAACAGTGCAGAGATGCAGATAGATCATTACGGTCTAATGAGAATGGCGCTGCGAGGAGTTACCAGAGGATCTGGTAGACGTTCAACACTCAGGGAGAAGATGGGACGGATATACAATCAGATGGTTACTGGTACCATCGGAATTGGAACTCTTCGCTTGCTGCTGAAGATAGGGACTGAGCACTTATGGGAGTGTCCCGAGTGCTGTGATGTCGATTCTTATTTCAACATTTAACGTTTCTCGACCCATCTACACTTTGTCTGTCTTATCAGAAATGTGCCATATTGTACTGCTTTATTCGAAAAGAGTCTCTCGTGTGATCTAGATTGAGACTGTGGGTAGGGGGTTTGGGTTAGGGCCAGTTCTGTATGTTCTGGGTATCGTTGAAAGCGGTGTCGTCGTGTTGTCTGCGCTGATGTAACTGGAGGGAAGACGACGTGACACCCCTTCCACGTAGAAGAGTCTGAGAAAGTATGAATGAAAGGTCATATAGTGTGTAGATAGGCCAGGAAAAGTAAATAGGATCTCAGCTTTTATTTCAACTGAATTCGCTCTTGAAAGTGTATTTAACAGTATTTATTGTAGTTTACAGCTAGGCTGCAATGTCTAGGTTTATTGGCCTAGAACATCTGGGGAACAAATAGCGGTCAGGCCCACAATCAGTTACTTCTCTGCCCATGGATTCTCGTTGTGACGCAGGGCGTCTTCTATGTTGCAGGGGTCAAAGGTAATCCTTATTGTCATCGCTTTAAAACCTCTCTCTTTCCTTGTCTTGTCACCGCTGACTTGCAGGATTATTTCTACATTTTGCTACCTGAATGATGTTTCAGGAGTACAGAAACTGTTATGTTTTTCTATGCCTAGGTGCCTTGTCAGAGCGATCTCTGTCTCGGTGGAAAAGGGGGAAAAGGGGGGGGGGGGGAGAGAGAGACTACCAAAGAACGTAGAAATACAAAAACATCCAAGTTTCGATATTCACTAATCGTCGCGCCTACGGTGCTTCCCCCTATAGTACTTCTTACTTGTACACAAGTATTTTTGAGGCGCCGCCTCAAATAAACTCACGGCGACAAAACCTCCTACAAACATTATTATATACGTCGACAGAAATCCGAAGGAAACACCCATTTAACATAGAAGACGCCCTGCCTCAAAACGAAACATCAATTGGAAGGGAATTAGCTCTGTTTGTGGGCCTGACTTCGTTACTTGTAATAGAAAACCTTGGGCTGTATAGTCTAGCTACCTTTCACGACGGGAAAGGGGGGGGGGGGGTGGTGGTTCTCATTAGATGGCTGAAACATTTTCTTCTTTGTCTTTCAATATAATTCAAACATGATCTGATTCCAACCTTTTCTGTAACGCTGGTATTCGTAACCGTAACCGAAACCGTGTGTGTGTGCGTGCGTGCGCGTGGGCGTGTGGGCGTGTGTGTGTGCGTGTGTGTGTGTGTGCTGTTAGTAAACTTAGAAGGGGGGGGGGGGCAGCGCATTTCACATCTGGTGTAAAATCCAATCATCTCCCTGTGAGATACAATTTTTCGTCATTTAAAGCCCTACTCTGGCTCTTGCCAGGGGCCGCAATATAGCCCGACCGTAAATATGGTCTAATGGCTAAACACGGTTTCTGGGACCTCTCCACGGGAGATCCTCATCCACATGGTGCAACTTTGTGTCATCGGGTGTTTATCACTTGTGTGATATCCTGGTGGGGTAAAAGAAGACAGATAGATTCACATCTTGTTATTTTTTTGTTCTATTGCTCTATTCATTTTATTTTAATATTTGCACTGAAAGCATTCAGTAGGGACAAAGATACTATTAATCATTTGCTGTTTTGCTGGAAATGAGACATTTGTGTGTCTAAATAGTGAGACTAGCGGGTAGATGACAGCATTGGCCTTCTCTACTCTGAACACTTGAAGGGAAGCTATTCCTACTTCAGCAGAAATGAAACGCTGCAAGAAATACTTCCTCTCCAAAGAACGACTAGCCTAAAGCATAAAACACGAGCTCCATAGTTTCAGCGAAGATCCCCATGGATTTCCTTAAAAAACTGCGCTCGCTTACTAAACGACGCTTTCGTGAAACAAACCCACGATCTTGGCACACTGCTTGACCACTTCACCATGAAGCTTCCCTCATAGACCAGCTGCCAACAAAGGCTAAGGGCTTCGTCGACCTTGCCAGAGCCTAAGTTTTCAGGTTGCATTCCCTTTTCCTTAGATTAGTTTAGCAACAGTGCCTCAGTCGGCTCTGTGGCTAAGTCGATGCGAACGCTTCCTTTCGTAATGCCGGGATGCCGGGTTCGATCCCAGCTGCATGCAATGCGCCTTGCGTTGGTTTCGACAGTGCTATCAAGAAGGCCGACCGTCTAGGAAGCAATGGCAAACTACTGGACGTAAATTTGCCTAGAAAAACCACACAACAGCCAGGGGTTGTTGGGGTTGGTTCTGCAACGTCCTGTAAAGGCTATGCAACTAACCTTACCAGTGCCGCAACTCTGCCCGTGGATGATGATGATCGTGTGCGTACATATTCTGTAAATAAAACTCTATAGACACCGGCTACTTCCAGGAAAGAGATCCCAACTTTAGCAGAAGTGAAACGCTGCAAGGAATACTCGTCTGACCACTAGCAGGAGAAACGTCATCTCTTTCCTTGTATATCATCATCGTATACATAATCGAGGTAAGGTTACATTCTCTAGTGTTTTATACCTTTAAAATACTTATAGAATGTCTGCTTTTGAGTTATGTTTTCATTTTTAAAAACAAACCAACAATATCATCAATATGTTACAATTCAATGGAAGGTGTTGGATTCAAACAGGAAAGTTACAAGCACCCACATAACAACGCATTCTCTAGAATTTAAAGCTGGAGCCAAATACATCGCAGCTATCGGGGCAATTTATAATCCATAAAAACACAGTTCCAGCTCAGAGTGCCAATATAATTATAGTTGCTAGCTGCAGTCTGATTATACATCTGTCTTGTCTTTCCCCTGAGCGTTGATTGTCGGCCAGATTCCCTGTTCACTCCCACAGGGCGCATCGTAACTCTGGTTGGAGCTTGCCAATTTTTAAACTAAAGATAGCGAAGCATAGGATGACAGGTTGTATGATTTATGTGAGATAGTATAGCAGCACACTCGCAGGTATATTCGTTCTCGTAGATGAATGTCATTTTGCCAGTACTAAAACAGCTGTAGGATTCTCATAGCTTCTTGTAACCATTATTAGTTCTCTCTTTTATATATATATATATATATATGTTTATATATTTATATGTGTGTGTGTATATATATGTTTATATATTTATATGTGTGTGTGTATATATATGTTTATATATTTATATGTGTGTGTGTATATATAAAAACACACGTACACATACACACAGGGCTTTTTTCAGTGCTTTAATTTCATACGACCACATCTCATCAGCTTCGAGATTTCGTAGGATCCATAGGGGTTTCCCTGGACACTACCATATTATTGTGGGGGGGGGGGGGGGTAAGGGCTAGTGCCCCCCCATACTATAGGACTTCCTAGGGATTTCTCTACCAAATCTCGAAGCCTATCAGATGTGGTCATGTAAAATTAAAGTATCCTTTTTCTGCCTGTTCACAGTGGTACACAATAGCAGCAACTTTTTAGGCATAATTTTTTCAATTGTATTGTGCAGGGAATTTGTTTACAAATATTTATTTCCTAATTTTGAATTTAACTCTTTGAGTCCCAGGGAATGCATCATACGTTCATAGGTTACTGTCTAGAAGCCCAATGAAGGCATAATGCGCTGATTTTGCGTCTCTCTTGACTACCCCTTGGGCCTGTGATGCTAAACCCTCTGAGACTCAGAGCTAAAGAAATAGAGCCCATCTTATGCATGGGGGTGACATATACACAGAAAAATACGGTATCTCTGAAAACACAAAAAAATATTAAAAATTCACTATGTTGTTTAGTACAGAAAGAGTTAAGGCAGCGGTTATCACCCTGGGGTGACGACTTCTTTGGGGGGTCAAATAACCATTTTACAGGGGTGGCATGAGACCATAGGAAAATGCATTTTCACTGAAGTTATGAAGTAGCAATTAAAATAATTTTATGGTTGATGGTCACCAAAACATGAGCAACTGTATTAAAGGTTTGGGGCATTAAGAAGGTTGAGAAACACTGAGTTAAGACTTAGATGTTTGCTGTGATTAATTAACATGTTCATAAATATAGTTGCAAATATATTTCATCTGATTTTTGTTTATTACTTCAGAATGTCCCAGATCGGCCATTTCAGAATTGTGATGATTCTATGTTGATGGAAAGATATTTTGCTGTTCAGATGTCATCAATGTCTTCATAAATAGAAAGATATTTAAGCAAAGTCGTGATAAAGTAAAAAGGATGAATGTGGTGTGTGCTCTTGCTAAAAAATAAATTAACAGTTTTATCTGAAACAACATTCACCAAATGTAGAAACAATACTGAATAGGAGACACCATTTCTAGCAGACATGGAAACTATGAATCAGAAAGTACTGACTCGTAATTTATCTGCACATTCGGAAGATGCAGAAGTGGAACACTTTTTTTTTAGAATCAGTTCTGACAAGAGAACAAGTACACATGGTGACGACCTGAACCAGAATGACGGGGCAAGCAACATCCCTGATATTGTGAGTTCCACCAGCGAAACCTCACAGTGGCAGGACCCAATGGATGACTGTAAACACCCTGATATAGTCCGTTCTAACTCCTCTTCTGATGAGAAATCATTGGAAATTCAACTATCCAATCATACAGCTGCATTTAAGCCAGAAGTTCCAGATGCTGGACGCAGTTCTGTCAGTTCATTCAGTAGCACTGGTTGTAGCAAGAAAAACTCAAGTTCCACTCAGGAGCCAGACACAAAAGCCAGGAGGTCTAATGTTGGCCTAGTTAATTCCCTTGGTAATGATCTTCTGCAACCCAAAGCATCAGTCGCCAGAGAAGGAAGTAGAGCAAGCTGTTTCTATAAACAGGATTCAGTTTTTGCACAAGAAAGTACAAATGTGCCTGATGGTCCACTTCATAACAGACCATGGCAGCATGTTTTTTCCTCCCGACAAATTCCTTCTCCAGTTATTGAAACATCTCTGACTAGCAAGGAGAATGACCCAAATCATATCCCCCGATGCTCTGAGAAAGGACAGGAAGCTCGTAGTCGGTTCAGTAGCAGTGGGTATGGTACAGGGTCTGGTGAAAGCTCTCAGGGAACTTCGGCTTCTAAAACCTCTGTTCATTCGTCTCATGATACATCTGTTCATTTGTCTCAAGAGTCATCCCCAGTAGATACACTTCTGCAGAGGGCTGTGGGAAATAGCAATGTTGCCAGGGATGAACCTAAAAATGCTGAAGTTTCAAAAGCTGCTTCACCAAACACTGCAGTATCAAATAGTGGAGTCAGTCTCCATATAGAAAACCCAGATTCCTTGAAACCGGCATTCCTGTGTACAGGCTATTCTAGCAAGGGTGCAGCAGATGAGTCACTATCATCAAAGAGAGTCTTAACAACCCATGGTGTTAAGCATTCCTTTAGTGTTGGTATAAATGGTCCAGGTGTGACTTCAGAACTTCAAACTGCTGAATACAAGCTGCAGAATATTTCAGTGAATATAAACCCTCAAAAAATTGAGAGACAAAGTTCTTCTGTAGGTGGACAAAATCTCAGGCAGCCTCAAATGAATCCTGCAATACAGAATCTCACAAGTTCTCAGGCGGGTGCTGTATCACCGAGCATGAAGCACTCGCTGTCAAGTACTCTGCTGCAAAACACAGGACAAACTCAGGAGAGTTTAGACCAGCAAAGACAATCTCAGATAAATATTAATGATGGCATAATTCAAAGTCCCCAGACTGGAGCTACTTGTATATACCCCATGGGTCTACGGCAACAAGAAGCTCTTGTATCTAATGGAAAGTTGAATGCAAGTTATGATTGTCAGAACCAGGCGAGGCTGTTGTCTATCCAACACCACCCACCCAGCAGTGGTAGTCTGGGCTGCACCACTGCCCCTATGAGCTCATCATCCAGTAGTGGCAGCTACTTGGTTCCTTTGAGTGTAGAGAACAAATGGGCTGCTGAGCCATCACATGCTTCTCTAGCAAAGTGTTTGTTGTTGCAGTCAGGCTCAGGTAATCTTCTGTTTTTAATTTTGCAGGTGAAAATTACTGTAGAAACCATGGTAACTTATTGCTTATTGGCTAGATTCTTGCCTATAGCCAGAAGATCTTGAGTTTTAATCTGCCTCTCTCCGTGTGGGTTCTGGGGCCCCATTTGGGGGGCTAGGGGGGGGGGGGGGTGAGGGGAGAGATAGACCTTCTGCCCCCCCCCCCCCCCCCCCCTTTTCCACAACAAGCATATTGTACAAGTTGAAAAATTAGGAGTGTTTCCTTTTAAGTCCGAGTGCATCTGATTGAGAGGCAAGGAACCAACAGTCTGCATGCAAATTCACCAGATTTGTGAAATGGATGTGCACGCAAAGCTCAAGTTCTTAAACAAGTCTAAAGTCCAGAAGTAGACAGACACCCAGAACATTTCATTGGAGTTTACAGCTGGTGAAGGTTAAGAAGAAGAAAAGGAAGAAGAAGAAGAAGAAAAGGAAGAAGAAGAAGAAGAAGAATCCATGTCAAATGGATTTTCAAAATTAGGTCAACCTGGTCTAAAATGGGTAGCAGATAATGTCCTGGGAAGTAAAGATGGCCAGTATGATAGCTGACCACATAACTGATTGAATGCTGATTGGTCTATAAAAGAATAATTCCAGTATCATATGATCAATGTGCCACTGGCGAAAAATTGGTCCTTTCTTCTTCAGCCCTTTCTCCCCCTCCCCTTCCCCCTTTTAGTGGAGCATAGGCTCCCAACTAACTCATCCCGAGTTGTCCTATTTTTTGCTATTGTATGCAGCTTACCCCATGTCCTCCCTGTCTTTTAACTTCACCCTCCCTTCTTCATGTTTTTTTTTGGGGGGAGGGGGCCTACATATTTTTCTGTGCCCCTGTTGGTTCTAGTGCAAAGACATTAAAGTTATATTGTTCCCATGATATCAGAATGTGTGTTCTATCAAACGTCAATGTCTTTTCCTAATTTACTAGAATTTTTTTTTTAGTTCTCTCCCAAAAGCTCAACATGATTGATTCTGTCCTTCAGTTTACCTCCCACATTTCTGCGCCTGGACCAGTTAATGATTTTTGTTAATGTAAAAAGGGTCTTTTACTGATTCCCCCCCCCCCCCCCTCCCCTGTAGATAATGTCTATTTCCAAAGGGGCAGCATATTTTTCTTACCTGTTTAGCTGTGAAGGCACTGACACACAAAAAAACAAATGGATTGAGGAAACGAGGACGTCTAATAGAAACCCTGAAACAAACATTGCTGAGAGAGGCATAAGGTGTAGATTGGATCCCTTGCCTGTTATCGAGAAGATTGGACAGGATAGATTGAATCCCTTGCATGATATTGAGAAGATTGGACAGGATAGATTGGATCCCTTGCATGATATTACGAAGATTGGACAGGATAGATTGAATCCCTTGCCTGATATCGAGAAGATTGGACAGGATAGATTGGATCCCTTGCATGATATTGAGAAGATTGGACAGGATAGATTGGATCCCTTGCATGATATTGAGAAGATTGGACAGGATAGATTGGATCTCTTGCATGATATCGAGAAGATTGGACAGGATAGATTGGATCCCTTGCATGATATTGCGAGGATCGGACAGGCTAGAACTGAATGAGGATTAATCTGTGAGCCCTGTAGGATATATAATGGCACAACATGATGATGATGACAGCTCTAAGGTCAACCCAGGAGCTGCCATGGTGTACTGGCTAGACCCTTGCCTTCTGATCTGAAGATCACGGGTTTGGGTCCTGGCAGAGCCATATTTTTTTTTTAAACCTCCCCCCCCCCCATCCCCTCCCCCCCCCCAAATATGACCTTTGCTCCCAGCCTTAAATGGGCACCAGTTAAAGGCCTGGGAAGTAAAGCTTGACCAGATCACCCACTGAGTGCTGATTGATCTTAAAAATACAGGTATAACCCTATATGCCCAATACACCTGAGGTCAACCCAGCCTAATAGGAATGGGTACCAGTTAATTACACCAGAACATTTTGAAATTGTCAAGGAATGAAAAGCAGTGAGGACAGAAACTGATCACTGCACCTCATATGTCATGGCTTAGAATATGTAAAAGGCTTTACATTTCATACCCTCAAAAGCTAACTTGAAGTCATAGTACATCAGCCTGTAAGACAGGGGGCGATGACTGCACTCAAATAAACCAGTAAAACGGAGGTACACACAAAAAACTAAGGTCCAGGTAAAAGCCAAAATCTAAATGGGCGAACTACCGGGACTTTCCGTTGGAATTCACAGCCAGTGAAGAAGAAGAAGAAGAAGTAGAAGAATACCCCAACAGCAGAGCTTGTATGGGAGTGTACTTTAACCTTTAGATGCATGCGGATCTGGAAATTAGGAGAAATATTTTAAGGACTTGCTGATGGATAAACCAGATTGCAACCAGTACCATTAGTACTGGAACTCTGCACTGGCTGCTGAAGAAAAAGACAACGCACACATGGGAATGCCCAGGGTGCTGTGATTTTAATTCTTGACTCAACTGAACTGCAATGTAGATAGGGTTTTATTTATTAAACACTTTTATAAAACTACAATTTTAACTAATGCAACACCTCCTGCTTAGAGGTTGGAAAATCTGACATACAAAGCTGAAGGGTTGTTTCTGAAAAGCCATGCCCTGCAATAACATAATCTTATTTTAACAGAGGTTTTTGTGTTGAATTCTTAAAAAAATTAATTTATTAAAACTATTCTCCCCAGTTGCTTCAGAAAGTTCCGAAGAAAGCCGCTACAATCTTGAGTCCCTCTTGAAGTCAGGAAATCAGTTGATTCACAAAAATGTTCATTCATCTGATGCCGGACACTTTCCAGTTTTTCATCAACAACTGCCGGAGAGTTTAAATCGTTCAGTTTTGGTAATGAGCTTTGTCACTGTATGGGTTTCATGACCCCATTTGAGGTTGACTAACTGAGGGCTTCATTTGAAGTTGGCGTGCCTCTGAAACCAATAGTCTGCATACAAATAAGTCATATCTGTAAAATGGATGTGCACACAACACTCAAGTTCTGGAACAAGACTAAAGTTTAGAGGTGGACGAACAACCAGAACTTTCTAAGGGAGTTTACAGCTGGTGTATGCAAAGAAGAAGAAGAAGACTTACCTTAGTACACTTCAATATGGTAGCCATTTGTAGCTCTGGCGATATCTAGATGGTATTTAGTCTTCTGCCTTGTCTTCTGAATCATGTTCAGGATTACAGCGGCAATTGCTACAGTGACCCCCTCTTTAGTTGCTGTTTGCTGCTTGTTTTCTTAGCTGTATTCACACACACGGTCATGCAAGGTCACACGAAACTTTAGACTTTTCTGAACACCTTAGGATGTCACACACATATGTATACTAAATAATCTTTTATAAAAACAGTTAGAGGGGCTGCATGGTCTCACCTGGCATGGTGTCCGCCTCGAGTACTAGAGGTTCTGGGTTCAATCCCTAGTAAGGGCTGTGATTTTTTCATGTGGACTTGCACTTCTAGTAATTTCCCCTGGTCTTTGGGTAGTGAGATCGGATGCCCGTGTGCATTATTTGGAAGTCTAAAAGAGTAGCCTAACAGCGCTGCCGGGCAAAAATTGAAGTTGAAAATTTACAGGATCCTTGCTGGTGCTACAGAGCATGTGCACTGTGCTGAGCTTCTTCGGACTCAGACTTGAGTTAGAAGAAGAATGGAGCACTTATGGGTTACTACCCATATGCCATGATGTTGATTTGTTGTTGAAACCTTGAAACCTAATAACAGTTGTAAATACCGGCCATCATTCTTAAAGATTCTGTATTGTTATTAATTTGGTTTGGAACCATTAATGCTCAGTGGGTACCATAATGCTGAACTGCTCCACTCCCTGGTGTGTGTTTATAGTAGGATCGCAGCAGCCTCGTTTCAAGCATGTCATAAAGGGTGACTAATTAAGGTTTTGCTGAAATCTGAGGTGTTGGGCTAAAAGGTGCAAATATCACAGCTGTAAACCACAACACAATATGCCAGCCTGCCTTTGAAAGGTAAAATAAGAAGAATTGTAAATGTTTTTTCATTCAGGCAGAGATGCTTTCAAATGCGTCATCAACAAATGATGAGCTGCCTGGAAGAGACCTTTACCTTTGGGAGAAACTTCAAAGGAGCGTTAGATGTAATGAGATTAACTGCAGTGTTCCTGAGTGTGCTCAGGTATGCTTATTAAATCTTCTTCTTGTTCTTGTTCTTTTTCTTGTTCTTCTTCTTGTTCTTTTTCTTCTCCTCCTCTTCTTCTTCTTCTTCTTCTCCTCTTCCTCCTCTTCTTCTTCTTCTTCTTCTTCTTCTTCTTCTTTTTCTTTTTCTTCGTCTTCTTCTTCTTCCTCTTCTTCTTCTCCTCCTTCTCCGCCTCCCTCTCTTCTTCTCCTTCTTCTGCTTCTTCTTCGTCTTCTTCTTTTTCCCAGTACCCTGTAATGAGGATTAGGCCCTGAACCAGATCATACCAAACTGTTTAATCATTGACATATGATGTGTGTGACACATGACACTGACATATGACATGCATATTTTATTTAAATATAACACTCACTTGAGACTTGGCCATGACACCTGCACATGACACTTTTATATGGCACTGACATGTTACACATGACACTGACATGTGACATACATGCACAATGCTGACATAACACATGTCACTGACATTCACACACGATACCTACACATGGTATTGACATGTGAAACTCACACATAATGACACATGTCATTGACACACATACTTGTCCCTCACCCATGTTCATACTCCTGCAGATCAAGGCCATCATCACAGCTCTAGAAAACGAGAGATGTAATGTGTCGTCACTGACCAGCAGTTTCAAGAATTTACTTCTGACAATGTTTAACCACATGGCTTATGTCTGCGACCACCCCAAGTGCCCGTTTCTCTGGTGTGGGGAGCGCATAGATAAGTGAGTGCTATTCTGTATATCTTCCTGGTGTCTGGGTTCCTTGACAAACACCTCACCTGCCTAAAATTTAGCTTTCAAGTACTTTTTAAATTTACATTAATAACGAAGATTATGAGTTACAGCACCTGTAAAAACTAAATGCTCCAACTTGTAACACCAAGATTTCAGTATTTTAGCTTTCTGAGTACCAGAAGGTTTCACAGGAGATAATAAAGTGATGAAATAATCATAATGTCAGATCATGAATTCTTTACTTTCAAAGCGGAAATGTACAGTGGGGGAAGCCAGATTTCTCTAGTATGTTCTGACCAAATGGTAAAATCAAGAGAGCATATTACGCTGCTTGAGACTGAAAGAGTTAAACACTGATCAAATCAATTGTCACCCCCGTGTGGGTTCCGGGGCCCCATTGTGGGGAAAACAAGAATAGACCCACTGCCTACCCAAAAGCATGTCGTAAGAGTCGACTAATTGCGGAGCTTCCTTTGAAGTCGGAGTGCATCTGCCGGAGAGGTAAGGAACCAACAGTCTGTATTCAAGAGAAGGAGATCTGTAAAACTGATCCACACGCAACACTCAGGTTCTGGAGCAGGACTGCATTTCAGTAGTGAACGAAAAACCAGAACTTTCCGCCACAGTGTACAGCTGGTGAACGCGAAGAAAAAGAAGAAGAAGAAGAAAAAGAAGAAGAAATCAATTGTCATGTATGGCTCTGAAACTAAGAGAGACTACCACTATTGCAAACTTTTCAGAACAGGATGTTCCCCGTGTGGGTTCTGGGGCCCCATTGTGGGGAAAACAAAAACAGACCCACTGTCTTCCCAACAAGCATGTCGTAAGAGCTGACTAACTGGAGGCTTCCTGTGAAGTCGGAGTGTATCTGCTTGAGAGGTAAGGAACCAAAAGTCTGCATACAAATAAGTCAGACATGTAAAATGGATGTGCACACAACACCTCAGTAGAAGAAGAAGAACAACAACAACAAAGTGTTAGATAAATCTTTGGACCCATTAAAGATGTAATCAGCAGTTTAAGAAGTGCCAGTTAAATTCATAATATGTTTAAAGCACTAGTAATTATTGGCACCTAATAGACTAAGATGGTTGGTGGGTATAGAGGGAATGGGAAATATCAGACAGACCAAGACAGCATAAACATAGGGTTGAATGAAAGTAGACCATGAGGTGGAGAGATGTTATCCAGGCAGACCTACAGATACTTTGAATCTTTAAATGTAAACAGAAGGCTAGTCGCAGAGATGATCTGAGGCAAATGATATCTGCTGCTGTGAACCTAAAGGGCTCAAAATACTTAATTTAAAAAAAAAGCAAGATTATGACCAATCTTCTCTGTGTCTGGTATATGTTCTGTGCTCTTTTGAATTGTCAGATTTCATAATTGGATATTTTCCCATTATATTATAGCATCTGTTCTTTCAGTACTCTAGAACACTGAACTCTTCATGATGTAGTCACCATAAATTTATCCTCCTTTTAGGACTTTATTTTTTGTTTGCATGATGGGAGGAAATCACTAAATACAGAAGGAGCAAAGAATTAATTGACTTCCTTCCCTTTGACTATTTAAATATGGTTTTGGTCACTGTCATAGATAGCAGTGTGTTACAGTACAGTGGAGCCTCGCTTGACGAGCATAATTCCTTCAGAATCATTCTCGTAATGCGAAAACCTTGTTATGCGAAACAGTTTTTCTCATATAAATTAATGTCAAATACGATAATGCGTTCCATGTTGAAAAAAATACTCACAAAATGATATGTATAGCGTTTATTCAAAGAAAATTATATACATATTGTTAAGGAGAGTGAATCATCTTTATATTATCTTCAAACATGGAACGAACCTGCCTGGAATGCGAATTCGATTTGCTTTCAGCATTTATCTTATTTTGCCAGAAGTTTGTTGCTTGTCTTGAACCCCTCAAAGTCACATTCGACAACGCTCTGCGGCCAAAGCTTCTTCCAAGCAGAAGTTAGAGTTTTCTTGGTAACCCCTTCCCACGCCTTGTCCATCATCTTGAGGCAGGCGACTATCTAGAAGTGATTTTTCCAAAACTCTTTGAGAGTGAGGGGTTGGTCCCTTCAGTCATCTGAAAACAATGCTCGAAGAGTGCTTTAGTGTAGAGCTTCTTAAAGTTAGAAATAACTTGCTGGTCCATGGGCTGGAGTAACGGAATGGTGTTGGAAGACAGAAACTGGATCCTGATGAACTTAAGTTCTTCAGGGAGGTCATCTTGTAGGCCTGGAGGATTCATATACACATATCACAATATAACACAAGTTTGAGAAAATATGTGAACACAGACTGATGTAACATGCGCACAATCCGGGAATTTCCCTTTCCTCGCCAATCGTTATGCCAAACGTTGCTCGTTAAGCAAGTCATTATTTTACAATTTGTTTTGCTCGTTTTGCGAATTACTCGTTCTGAGAGGTGCTCGGAGCGAGGTTCTACTGTATAATTATATCCTGTTATGGTAAGGTCATAATAAAGATTATACTTTATTTTGTATTGTAACAGTTAAAAAAAAATACTACTCTCAAAAGAGTGGCTGGCCGGGTGGTACTACAATTTTTTCTGCTTCTTCTTCTCTTCTAATTTCTTAGGGTATAGTTTCAGAAAATTATGAGGATGCATTTATTTTAATGCGGTTTGAAAAACAATATAACAATATAACAATGATAACATCAGAGAAACTCTACAACAGCACGATGTGCCTATGGTCGAGGCAGCCAGAAGAGCTAGAAACAGAACCTTATATCTCCCTTGACACCCACAGCGGTAAAAGAGGAAGTGAAGAAGAAGAAGAAGAAGAAGAAGAAGAAAAACAATAATATTGTTAAAGGTTTTTACAGGGTGAAAAAAGTTATATCCTTAGGCTCATGACCCCACGGTCCTACACTGCTGGGAATTAAAGACAGCTTATATTCTTAACATCCTAATGTATTTCTTGCCAGCAGCCTTGACCTGACTCCAGACGAGTGTCTGTTGATTATGAAACAACGAATGGAAAATTTTGCAGAACATTGCAGACTGTTAAGGAGCCCAGTCAAGTATATGAAGGTAAAGTGTAACTTGGCTATATCCCGGCACATGGAAAAAAAACAAAAAACGTAATAGTGGGGAACCTGGGCAGTGCCTGTGAGATTTTTATTTACCTCTCTAATCATTCAGAGATACAAAACAAAGCATTATATATCGTTGACAACATTGTTCCTGAAATCCCATGCTATAATTGTGGAAGACTTCTTAACGTAGGCGGGTTTTGTTAGTCACACTAGCCATTGCCATGGGATATGAGTCCCATGTCTCCTCATAGCGCTGTATAACACTATCGTCTGGAAAGACGGAAAGGTGCCAGTCATCATGTAGGTAACAGCTGCGCTGTCTGGAGGTCAAAAACTTTGCACAAACTTTACAGCATGTCAAAAAACAGCCATTTACACCTCACCTTCGACTTCTTCCTTCTCTTCCTTTTTTTATTTATTTATTTTATTGTTTTTTAAATTTGTTTGTTTATTTTTCAGCATCCTCTCCTATTCCTCCCTGCCTTGCTATAATATATTTTTCTACAAGCAGAATTTGTTTCCACTGCTATCTGTTTCCACTGCTCTCTGTTTCCACTGCTCTCTCTGTTCCCAATGCATTAAATTTGTATGCAGGGTCCTTGTATCTTCCATTAGGGTGCCAGTTCAGTCTTGTGCCTTGTGTTTGCTTTCCTTTGTTTTTCTGTAAGAATCCTTTGGATACCAAGCATCAGCAGGTCATCATTGCAGGAATTCATGTGGATATACTGTCTGGTCTGGGACTTGCAGGAGTGTGAGGGAATGAAAGAGTGGATTTTTTTGGGGCTACAAAAGCGATAGCTACAGGAACACTCATACTGGACAAAGGAGACATTGTAAAGACCATTTATGAATGTAGTGAACCCATTTTCTCCTAGATAAATTATGTTCCAGACAGAATGACATCAGCTAATAAATGTGAATGCAATATCTGGGTGTAACTAGGACAACACGAGAATTACAGAGAAATGCTGACCAAATGAACTTCATGCGATTCACGCGGATCACAGAGAAAATGCTGGCCGAATGGAATCAGTGTAAATCTGAGAACACTGAGAAATTGTCATCACACGGAGGGCATTAGAAGACTATATAATGCCTTAGAAAGGGCTGGTCGGCAGTCTCGTTTGGGCCAAGGAATGGAGTGCAAGAACAACTGTGGAATGTGTGTGGAACAAAAAGGTGTCTGAATATGATTGCAACTTCAACGCCCAACCTGGCTAACAGCAAGGCCAAACCGAAAGATGTCTGCCAGCTGCGTTAGTCACCGTCAGAACGACAGTTGTTTCATTCATTGTGCTTGTGTTAGGACGATTGTGATTTCGGTTAAAAGGTAAAGTGATAAATATGATTATTTGAGTTATGCCCTGGACATTAGTCTGTTTCATGTTCCGGCTGAGGAAAGGTGAGTGGAAGAAAAAAATGCAGAAATAGTCTTATGTTGTTTCCAGTTGTCTATTTTTCTGCTCGTCGTGTTGAAGTCGGTGTGTGAAAAAGGAATCTGCAGTGACTAGAGCCACATAGAAGAGAACAGAGAGTTATTGCAATGAACAAATGCTGATAGAAGGCGCTAGGTTAGGTGAAATGTCGTGTAAAAAATGCGTGAACCTGGAATTATGTGTATAAATTTGTGAACCTGGAATTATGTGTCAGAATTTTTGAAAATGGGATTATGTGTAAGATTTTTTGAACCTGGGATTATGTGTAAGAATAAGTACACCTGGAATTATGTGTAAGAACATGTGAACCTGGAATTATATATAAGAATTGGTAAATCTGGAATTATGTGTAATAATTTGTGAACCTGGAATTATGTTTAAGAATAAGTACACCTGGAATTATGTGTAAGAACATGTGAACCTGGAATTATATATAAGAATTGGTAAATCTGGAATTATGTGTAATAATTTGTGAACCTGGAATTATGTGTAAGAACATGTGAACCTGGAATTATATATAAGAATTGGTAAACCTGGAATTATGTGTAAGAATTTGTGAACCTGGAATTATGTGTAAGAATTTGTGAGCCTGGAATTATGTGTAAGAATTTGTGAACCTGGAATTATGTGTAAGAATTTGTGAACCTGGAATTATGTGTAAGAATTTGTGAACCTGGAATTATGTGTAAGAATTTGTGAACCTGGAATTATGTGTAAAAACGTGTGAACCTGGAATTATGTGTGAGAATTTGTGAACCTGGAATAATGTGTAAGAATTTGTGAACCTGGAATTATGTGTAAGAACGTGTGAACCTGGAATTATGTGTAAGAACGTGTGAACCTGGAATTATGTGTAATAATTCGTGAACCTGGAATTATGTGTAAAAATTTGTGAACCTGGAATTATGTGTAAGAATTTGTGAACCTGGAATTATGTGTAAGAATGTGTGAACCTGGGATTATTTGTAAGAATTTGTAAACCTAGGATTATGTGTGATAATTTGCAAAACTGCAATATGTGTAAGAATTTGTGAACCTGGAATTATGTGTAAGAATTTGTGAACCTGGAATTATGTGTAAGAATTTGTGAACCTGGAATTATGTGTAAGAATTTGTGAACCTGGAATTATGTGTAAGAATGTGTGAACCTGTGATTATTTGTAAGAATTTGTAAACCTGGGATTATGTGTGATAATTTGCAAAACTGGAATATGTGTAAGAATTTGTGAACCTGGAATTATGTGTAAGAATTTGTGAACCTGGAATTATGTGTAAGAATTTGTGAACCTAAAATTATGCGTAAGAACATGTGAACCTGAAATTATATGTAAGAATTGGTAAACCTGGAATTATGTGTAAGAATGGGCAAACCTGGAATTATGTGTAAGAACGTGTGAACCTAGAATTATGCGTAAGAATTTGTAAACCTGGAATTATGTGTAAGAATTTGTGAACCTGGAATTATGTAAAAGAACGTGTGAACCTGGAATTAGGAGTGGATCCAGCAAGGAACGATGCATGAGAAGAAGAGTATGACATGTGTACAGCCAGTAGCTATGGGAGCAGTTAGCATCCACACCTTGTGGGTTCCGGGGCCCCATTGCGGGGAAAACAAGAATAGACCCACTGCCTACCCAAAAGCATGTCGTAAGAGTCGACTAATTGGGGAGCTTTTTTTTTTGAAGTCAGAGTGCATCTGCCTGAGAGGCAAGTAACCAATAGTCTGCATTCAAGTGAATCAGATCTGTAAAACTGATGCACACGCAACACTCAGGTTCTGAAGTGGATGAACAACCAGAACTTTCCACCAGAGTATACAGCTGGTGAACGCAAAGAAGAAGAAGATCTACACCTTAAGACATTTTGCTGCAGAAGCAGAGCGTCTGTGGGTGTGCCTATTGTGCCATGACGTTGATTTTCAAATTAGTAATCAGTAATCTTTCAGAACCATTTGATAGTTGCATGTTTTTTTGTTGAAAACTCTAATAAACATCACATGCAAAAGTTGATTTTCTCATAGCCAGTTAACAGGGAAGAAAGTCGCCGTGGCGTAGTGGTTAGATGCTGGCGTGCTGATTGGAAGGTCGTGGTTTCGCTCCCTGGTGGGGCCGGACATTTTTTCAAAAATGACCTTGGCTCCCAGGTAGACCCAGCCTTGAGTGGGTACCGGGTGCAGTCCCAGGAAGTAAAGGCAGCCGGTGTGATGCTTACCACATCACCCATCTTGTGCCGACTGGTCTATAAAAATACAGGTCTAGCCCTATTTACCCTATACGCCTAAAGGCGTGGAAAAGGGTCCTTTACTGACTTTACAATTAACAATGATGCAAAGTGAACACCATAAAAGAGATTGGAGCTTCCCCGCATAATACTCCCAGTGAGCTGAGGAATCCCATGTCTTTCATTCTCAGACTAAGGAAATAACAAGATGGAAGCATTCTTATGCTCTGATTGTCAGTAGGGGAATTTCAAACTATTCAACCAGAATATTTTGTGTTTATTGAACAGTTGAAAACATTTAATGTCATTTATGCAACACTTGAAAACATCATATGTTTATGCAGCACTTGAAAACATCATTCGCTTTTGCAGCACTTGAAAACATCATTCGCTTTTGCAGCACTTGAAAACATCATTTCATTTATTTACCAGTTGAAATCATTTCATTTTTTTTTTTCAACATTTTAAAACTTTTTTTTAATTGAACAGTTGAAAACATCATTTCATTTATTCAACAGCTGAAAACAGCATTTAATTTATTCTACATTTGAAAACATGATTTCATTTATTTTACATTTGAAGACAGCATTTTATATATTTTACATTTGAAAACATCATTTCATTTATTCTACATTTGAAAACAGCATTTTATTTATTCACATATTAAAACTTCATTCAATTTATTCTGCAGTTTTAAACCTCATTTAATTTATTCTACATTTGAAGACAGCATTGAATAGTTGAAAACTTCATATCGTTTATTCAGCAGTTGAAAACATTATTTCATTTATTCAACAGTTGAAAACATCATTTCATTTATTCAACAGTTGAAAACATTATTTCATTTATTCAACAGTTGAATACATCATTTCATTTATTCAACAGTTGAAAACATCATTTCATTTTTTCAACAGTTGAAAACATCATTTCATTTATTCAACAGTTGAAAACATTATTTCATTTATTCAACAGTTGAAAACATTATTTCATTTATTCAACAGTTGAAAACATCATTTCATTTATTCAACAGTTGAAAACATCATTTCCCTACAACTCTATGCCTGAGGAAGATCTGCACTGGATAAGGTTGTGCATGATGGGCACCTCCAGAAGGACTTTGCTGGTCAAACCGCTCCAGTTCAATAGCTCTGACCCTCTCTCTGACAGCGAATACTGGGTCATTAAAAAGGTGAGGTTTTATTTAATATACCATCCTTATCCGCAAAGGACTACAGATTACAGCTGGCTGGTGAAGCCATTTCATGTGCTTTAGTTAGAACTTCTTTGGAGGTTAAGTAGGGAGACTGCGTGGTCTCGAGGCATGGTGTCCGCCCCAAGCGCTAGAGGTTCGGGATCCAATCTCCAGTAAGGGCTGGGATTTTTCCACATAGACTTAGACATCTAGTAATTCCCCCTGGTCTCTGGTTAGAGAGATCGGATGCCCATGTGCATTGTTGCGCATGTAAAAAATCCCTAGGTAGTTGGAAATCAAAAAGAGTAGCCTAACGGCGCTGCCAGGACAAAATTTTGAGTTAAAAATCTACCCAAAATATTTCAGGATCCTCGCAGATGCTTCAGAGCCTGTGCACTGTGCTGAGCTTCTTCGGATTCAGACTTGAGTTAGAAGAAAAAAGGAGCACTTATGGGTTACACCCGTCTACCGTGATTTGGATTGGTAGCTCAAAACTTGGAGTTTGAGTGGAGTATCTCCCCATGTGAAGTGTTGCCTGATGACTGGACTGAAGGAACAATAGTCAAAATCCCCCAAAAAAGTATAATTGGAGGGGAATTACTCTACTCTCAGTACCATGCAAAATATTTTGTAAAATCATTATAATGCGGCTTGAAAAAGGAGTAGATAAATGCCTACGAGTGGAACAAGCTGGATTCAGAAAGGGCAGAGGAACAACTGAGCACATCTTCGCCATACGTAACATTTTAGAACAATGCAACGAATGGCAGAGAAGTATATATATTAATTTTGTGGACTTTGAGAAAGCTTTTGACAGCGTCCATAGAGACGGTCTGTGGAAAATTTTACGACATTATAGAATTCCAGAAAAAATAGTCAACATAATTGCTCTCTTCTATAAAGACTTTTCCTGCAGTATAAAAAATTACAATACATCTTTCCCAGTAAAGACGGGTGTAAGACAGGGATGTGTTATGTCATCTCTCCTCTTCAACCTTGTGATTGATTGGATACTAAAGAACACAGTAGACAGGACATTAAGAGGCATACGATGGACTCCATTCACCATGCTTGAGGACCTTGATTTTGCAGATGATATAGCACTCCCATCACATAAACATGAACATATACAAGAGAAAAGTAACAGACTAAACTGCACAGCAGAAATGGTGGGACTGAGAATAAATACAAAGAAAACTAAGATCATGACAAACAGTCCAAACCAACAACCAGTGACCATAAATAACCAATCACTTGAAAATGTAGAACATTTCACATATCTTGGCAGTGTGGTGTCCCTACTGGGAGGGACAGAGAAAGACATAAAGTCACTTCTCGACAAAGCTAGAGCTGCTTTTGGAAGGATGAGGCAAATCTGGAAATCCAACAATTACTGCAGAGGAACGATACTCCGACTCTACAAGAGCATCATTTTGCCAGTTCTTCTTTATGGAGCGGAATGCTGGAGAATGACCAAAAGGGATGCACACAAGCTGTCCACCTTCCACCACACATGTCTACATAGAATTATCAAAATTTTCTGGCCAGATACAATCTCAAACACTAAACTACTTCAAGCCACAAACCAAGAAACTTTAGACAGTATGATTACCAAGAGAAGATGGAAATGGCTTGGCCACGTTATAAGAATGACTTCTGATATACCTTCCAAAAAAGCTCTCGCATGGACACTAGAGGAAAAGAGAAAACAGGGGCGCCCAAAAACAACATGGAGACGAACGATGGAAAGTGACCTGAGTGCGGCATCTTTGGCATGGAAAACTGCACTGAAGATTGCACAGGACAGGAAAGCATGGAAAGTCCTCTTTGAAGCCTCATGTGCCACTAGGCATAACGAGAATTGATGATGAAGATGATCTCCCCATGTGGATTCCGTGGCCCCATTCTGGGGTTAACAAGAATAGACCCTTTGTCCACCTAAAAGTATGTCACAAGAGTCGACAAATTAGGAGCTTAATTCAAAGTCAGAGTGCATCCGCCTGAGAGGCAATGAACCAACAATCTGCACACACATGAGTTAGATCTGTAAAATGAATGTGTACATAAAACTTAGGTTCTGGAACAGGACTGGAGTTCAGAAGTGACGAGCAACCAGAACTTTCCACCAGAGTTTACAGCCAGTGAACACGGAGAAAAAGAAATGTTGTATCTGGGATCTGAGTTGTTGGTCTGCTTCCGGCTTGAGATTTTAAAATTTTAGGATGTTATCTAAAACCTTTAAGATTTACACAGATATTATAAATGAACTACTCTTTGCAGATGACCAATGTTTGTTACAAGAAGAAGAACAAAAACTACAACAACATGTTGATTCATTGCTCACTAACTGTACAAAATTTGACATGAAAATAAACACCTCAAAAACTGAAGTAATGACCATAGGAAAGAAACACAGTAATGAAAACATAAAGATCAATGACATACAATTAGAACAAGTTCAAGAATTCAAGTACTTAGGATGCATATTTACAGAAGATGGAAGACTCGATAAAGAGATACAGGCTAGAGTTCAAAAAGCCAATGCAGTCAACTACCAACTGGCCCCACTTCTCCGTCATCCAAAGATCTCGTTACCAGCCAAACAACGGATGATCAACAGCATTTTCATCCCTACGTTATGTTATCAGTGCCAAACATAGACAATGAACAAATCACATATGCAAAAAATAACTACGTGTGAAATGCGATGTCTCCGAAGAGTCACCAACAATACACGAAGAGACAGAGTCACAAACGTCAGCATTAGAGACAAAGTTGGAACAAGAGCATGCATGGAACATATTGAAAGACAGAGAATGAAGTGGTTTGGCCATTTAGTAAGAATGCAACCGGATCAGATTGCCTATAAGGCCTTTTACAGTAGAACATCGGGAAGAAAGGCCAGAGGAAGACCTAGGAAAAAATGGATAGATGGAGTAGCTGAATACGGCCAGAAGATCCAGAAAACTGTCACTCAAATCACGCGAGAGGCACAAAACAAATATTTTAAACCACGACACTGGGCTGCAACCCGGTAAAAGTGAAGAAGACAATAGATAGATAGAGATCTTAAACCTTTAGGAAGCAGCTTGAAGGGGACAACACTGATTGATCGGTCAATCTTAGTATACCATATGCTGCTGCTTCTTCTTCTTCTTCTACTCTTCCACCATCGGTGTGTTGGGAAATGAAAAGGCGGACAGACTGGCTGGCTCTGCACAGCTTGGTTGAATACTGATGCATGATAAGGCAGACGTGGTTAGTGCCTTGTGGGAGAGCGTGTGCAGTGCGGAGGAGCAGACTGATCACCAGAGTGTGGTGAGACTGATGCAGTTGGGAGTGACGAGAGGTTCTGGCAGATGCTCGAGGCTCAGAGGAAAGACAAGACGGACGTTTAATCAGAATGCTAGTGGCACCATTAGTATCGGAACTCTTCGCTGGCTGCTGAAGATGGGGACGGAGCGCTTATGGGAATGCCCCGAGTGCTGTGATGTCGGTTCTTGAATCAAATCAGTCAAATCAAAATTCCATCATTTACCTCAGCAAGGTGTTGGGGGGAGATGTAAGGATCGTTTGTGCAATTTTTACAATGCATTGTACAAGTTGGTGTTAATTTCTGTTAGGTTGCTCCTGATGGTATCGCTCCATCTCTTGCCCTTGCTCTGTGTTCATAATATTTCTTCAGCGTGGCTCTCTGTGGCAATTGGTACCGGGGCATTCTCATCAGGTGGCCAAACCATCTCATTTGTTGTTTCTTTAATTAAATATGTGACTAGTTTCAGTCCTAGTCTTCTTCTAATTTCATCATTCCTGATTTTATTTCTTCTTGTCACACCGACAGCTCCTCTAAGACATCTCATCTCTGTTGTTATGATCTTCCCCTCATTGGTTGTAATAAGGGTCCATGTTTGGCACTGCTAGCACAATGTCGGCCAAAAAACTTTCTTATGAGATTTGCTTTGGTTGACAGAGGTATCTTTCTATGCGTCAGAAGGAGATATGTATACCATATGCAACACGTTAAAAATGAGAATCATCATATTTTATGTATACCCGCGTCAAATGTTATGGATACCCGCGTTAAATGTTATGTATACCCAAACACACAGTATGTTTCAGGAATATTAACAGTGAGCAAGCAACTAAAAAAAAAAAATCAAACTGGGTCTCTGGAGATGTGGATTCAGAGGAGAAAAGGCCATATTTTGTGGAAACAGAAACAATAAAATGCAGAAGCTCCTGAAGTTACTGGAGTTGAAATGAGAGATGCTGGAAACAAAAAGAGGCGGTTGAAATAATTTGGCCATATTAAAAGAATCTTTCTTTATAATATATTTAATTCTCATAGTTGGTGGTAAAGTCAAAGTCAAGAGTGCAAGAGGAAGACAGTGATGAACACATCAAAATATAGAGAGATAGCAGTTTGACAGTGTGTTACCAAGACAGGATGTGCTGGAGATCCATTGTGGTCAACCTTCATAGAGTGCTGAAATAACAGAAGCCAGCTTCAGGCCTCAGAAATGAAGTATCTGAGAAAGGTGGTCCAAGTGATAAGAGACAAAGTTTGCAGTCAGCCAATAGTCATAACCTTAAAACTCAGGCCATAAAAACTCGAGTGCGTCAGTCACAGTTACCATGGTTTGTACATGTAAGCAGAATGGGAGAGAACTGTCCACCACGGCAGGCATGGGAGGCCAAGAAGCCAGGGAACTAGACTACCAGGACGACACAGGGTTCGCTGGGAAGACAACATCCAACAGTCCCTGACTGACAGAAGACTTGAATGGAACAAAGCTATAAAGAAAACTGCTGTTAGAGAAGTCTGCCGATTGCTCTGGCAAATAAGCTTTCAAATCTTTTACAGGTTTACTTAACAGATGAAGGAGATAACTGGAGTGTGTACTCAAGACTGAGAGAGGTGAAACACAGATCTGTGGTTTCGATGTTGTGGGCTGCTGCCTTTGAAGACCATTTGCTTGTATGTTCTGTGTATGAGGGTAGGTAGTGTCATATGTTTGTATGTTCCATATATGAGGGTAGGCAGTGCCACATGCTTATATGTTACATGAATTAGGGTAGGTATATTCCATTCCAGAAATCCTGCTAAAGTTTAAAAATCTGTAACTCAGTAATCGTTCGATATAAGTTTTTTGAAATTTGGCATGCAAACTATTAATAATCATGTCCTTGTAAGAATCTGGTTTTCATTTTGCCTTATTTGCGTTATTTGAGAAAACAGACACCCATCTTCCTGTGTGGGTTCCGGGGCTCTATTGTAGGGAAAACAATAATAGACCCACTGCCTACCCAAAAAGCGTGTTGTAAGAGTCGACTATTTGGGAGATTACTTCGAAGTCGGAGAGGCAAGTAACCAGCAGTCTGCATACAAATGAGTCAGATCTGTAAAATGGATGCACACGCAACACTCAGGTTCTGGAACAGGACTGCTGTCCAGAAGTGGATGAACGACCAGAACTTTCCGCCAGAGTTTACAGCTGGTGAATGCGAAGAAGAAGACAGACACTGATCAAAGGCAAACATACAGCATGCTTACATCAACTTGAGTAAACTGAGCAAGATTAACTTTTCTAAACATCAAATTGCACACATTTCACTCTCAGGTGCTCATCTCCAGCATAAGTCTCCTGTGAGTTGCAGATTTTTCATTGAATGGGGAATAGGCTGACAAAATAATCCTAACCATGTGCACTTATTTTCCACACACAAAAATATTCACACGCGTCAATTACTGTAAATTCTATTTGTTCAGCTCCCAACCTTTCTGCAATGATTATTTTTCTTTATTCCCATTCCCTTCCTGAATTTTCTCCTAGACACGACAATACAGTTCGTGGCTATTCAAACTTTCTGTGCCACAACCCTTTTATACAGTTCCCTTCTGTTGTGGCGACCCCCAGACAATTATTTTTCTTCATAACTTCAATGAATATGTATTTTCTGATGGTCTTAGGCGACCCCTGTGAAAGGGTCATGCGACCCCCAAAAGAGGGCCTCAACCCGCAGGTTGTGAACCGCTGGTCCATGGCATCTTGTTCCCGCTAATCTACCTCAGTACCTGATTCATTCATGTCCTGCTTGTACACACATCTTTACATCATAGTAGAAGCCGGCCTGGACATCTCCTACCCCTCTGTAGTTCATAGAAAATGTCCTTAGGGACTACCATCCGCCATCCTCCAAGTATGTAATTACTGGATTCCTTTTTATGCCTTTTCCTGGATCGTTTGGCATAGGGAATTAGATCTACATTTTTATATACCAGTTATTACAGTGAGTTTCAATGTTATGACATCATCATCATCAGGTGCCTTGCCGACTGGCGTGGGCAATCATGCCTCTCCATAATCCGCGATCTCCTGCATCATGTATCAGTTCGTGTGCCGACACACCTCCATGCCATGCAACAAGACTGTCAAGCATCTTCTCTCGTTTCTTCCTCTATCCCTCCTTCCACAGATCTTTCCAGTGGTCACAACATGTTCTATTTTCCCTCTTCTCATAACATGGCCGAAAAATGATGACTGTCTCCTTCTGATGTCAGTGATAAGTTTTCTTCGGGCTCCCGCCTCTTTTAAAACCTCTTGGCTATGACAGCCACTTTTATTTCCTTGTTAATTTTTTTCTACCCATTTTAGCCAGACATAACCCCCCCCCCCCCCCCCCAGCAAGAAAACACAGTTTGACATAAAGTACCACTATTCAGATGGAATCATCTGGGAACAAGTGCTACCACAGCCGATGGCATTTTTTTTTTTAATAATTAGAAGCACTATAGTGCTCTGCAAAGAAATATTAGGAAAATATCCTGGTGCACAATAAAGTGCGAAGTAAAGGCGGCAGTCTAGTTTGAGGTGACCTGGAACCCCTATATCTATACTAAAAATCACAAATGCTTTCTGTATTTAGTATGATCTTTATTGTAGTGTTTATTTGTCACAAACCATGACAAATACACAAGTTGAATTTGCATTTATCATTATGACTACAATGAAGTAATTTAATCGTCACATTTGCAGCCAAGTTTATTGTGCATTTCTTAATTTATTAAGATGATAAGTAAAAGTAAACTTTAGCTAGAGTTATATCCCTTTGAATTTTTTTTTTTTTTTTACATCCCTTACATTCATTTTTTTTTAATTTCCTTTTGTTGTTGTCTCCATTTAAGCATATTCTGGCAGCTCACACACCTTGTACAAATGTATTTGCTACAGAAAATTCATGGAATCACCAGACATGCACTGAAATAAGCCATTAGTAGGTTTAGGAAATGAGAGCATTCAAGAAACACTTAAAGACTGAAGGCTTATATTGTGCTCTCTCTTCCATGAAGTTTCTACTAATATTAAGCAGCAGTAGAGACCAAGATGAGAACAAAACATTCTTTCACTTTCCCAGGCAAAGCTGGGCAATTAAATCTAGTTAATTATCCATTTTCTTAAAAAAGTATATTTGTGTTGACATGTGCTGGTGTATTGTTCTGTTCATTTTTATCATCAAATACCTTCCCGACTGGCGTGGACAATCATGCCTCTCCACAATCTGCTGTAGATTAGTTTGTGTGTTGACACCTCTCTATGCCATGACAAAAGGCCGTCAAGAATCTTCTGATGTTGTCTTCCACTGTCTCGCTTTCCACGTCTTTCCTACGGTCACAAAATGTTGTAGTTTTTTTTCTTCTTATAACGTGATCAAACAAATTATGGCTTTCTCTTTCTGATGTTTGTGAAAAGTTGTCTTCGAGCCCTCGCACCTTCCATGGAATCTGCGTTGCTCTTTTTAGTGGTCCAAGGAGCTCTGAGGATTCCTCTGTAAAACCACAACTCCTAGGCCTCAATAAATTGGCTTGTTCATTGATTGTCCATGATTCACAGCCTTTTCCTTGCACATTTACAAGCAATTCTAATACACAAAAAATACCAATAACTGATTTCTCAAATTATCTTGTTGCAGGTTTCTCACTGAATGATTACCTTCCTTCATTACCATCCTCTCAGAGTCGATTCATTCCGGTGTTCTGCATCATGCAGCAGCTAATTTCTGCCGCACGACATATCAGCTCACTGGGAATAGTTTACCTCAACTGGACCAGTAAGAAAATTTTTGAATTGCTCTTCTTTGAAAACTTTTACAATAAATGTGTTGATGTGATCAAACTTTTTGCTGTGGGACATTAATTGCACCAACAGCCTTGTAACAAACTAAGCTATAAAAAATTAATATTGGCACAACAGTGCAGTGATGTAATATGCAAAGAATCGATATTTTGCACAGTTATAAGGTTAGCTAGTTCATATAAAATATTATATATACAATAGTGCAGTGATATATATATATATATATATATATATGTGTTTGTGTGTGTGTGTGATTGCATTCTGTAAGTGTAGGTATGTTTAGAGTTTTAAAGTTTTTTAAATTTAAAATTTTTATGGTACCTTTCATGTTATGGTACCTTTTGTGTTATGGTACCTTTTGTGTTATGGTACCTTTTGTGTTATGGTACCTTTTGTGTTATGGTACCTTTTGTGTTATGATACCTTTTGAAAAAAAAAATTGGTTCTGTTCCCAGAATAAATTCAGCAGACCTGTCAGAGTCACTTCAGTTGCATGATTCTGTGTTTTCTGGTTTATATTTGTTGGTGTTGTGTACTCATGTAATGTGCTGATGAAGGTTTTTTCGCCGCAGGGTTCACTTGTCGTTTGTGTTTGTGATAATGTAAAGCCGACTGGTTCTACTTTTCATTTGGCTTGCTGTCAGTTCATGATATTTCTATTTTCACCAGTATTTTAAACATTGTGATCGAGGCAATTCTGTTGTGTTTATGACAGGTGAAAATATCCTGGTGACCTACCATTCAGAAACATACTTTCTCGTCAAACTGAGCAACTTCTCCTGTTCTGTACTGCTGGAGCGTCCTGATGGCAGGCGGCCATCTTACGATGGCGGATACCTGCGGTTGGCTCTTCCTTGGCATGTCGTTACACCAGAGGTATAGATTTCAGTCAGTTGTTTGAGAATTGTTTTGTTTTGTTCCAAATATATTAATGTTACTTTTCCTTTGGAGTAAACAAGGCAGGCCGAGAAGGGATCACGGTGCATGAGCAGTGCCTGGTTCTACAAAAGTACCCAGGCTTTCTGCTGTGGAGAGGACTTTTCTCAACATGGGTTGATCTTGCTAGTCACATTCGCCATCACCATGGTCTATGATTCCCATGCCTTCCCATAACTCAGTGTACCACTAACGTTTGGAAAGACAGGAAGGTGTCAACAGCACAAGAACAATGAGAATTATACTCCAGGTGTGTGGATGTGAGACTGTTTGATCATTTGGGTATTTTCTCCAGGTCATGCCCATGTGTTGGGAAATGAGCAGTCAGATAGACTGGCTGGCTCTGCACCACTTGGTGGTGAATTGATTTATGACAAGTTAGATATTGTGAGGGCCCTTTGGGAATGGGTGACAGTGCAGAGACGCAGATGGATCCTTACGGTCTGATGATAATGGCACTGCGAAGGGTTACAGGGGATCTGGTCGATGCTAAACACTCAGGGGAAGAATGGGGCGGATATACAATCAGAGGGTTACTGGCCCCATCAGAATTGGAACTCTTCGCTTGCTGCTGAAGATGGGGACTGAGCACTTATGGGAGTGTCCAGAGGGCTGAGATGTCAATTCTTAATTCTTAGTTCAACATTCTTTTTCTTATTTGTTTACTGGCATTAAGCTCCGTCACGCAGTCCTGGTTTGTTCATCCATTTAGATTTTATTGGCTTTTCTATGTGCAGTTGGTTGTTCCTTGCCACTCTGGCAGATGTACTCTGACTTCGAAGGAAGCCCCCAATTTTCTTGTTGGGGGAGGCAGTGGGTCTTTTCTTGCTTTCCTCACAGTGGGGCCCCAGAACCCACACTGGGAGATATGAGGATGTAGAAGCTAGATGCAGTCAAGACAGTATGGGAGAAAGTAAATATTGTGGAGGTACAGATAGACTATCTGAAGAGACTGTCATCTGCGAGTTGCCATGTGATCTGGCTAACACTCGGGGGGAAAAGCAAGACGAACAAACAGTCAGACGGCTACTGGTACACTGGGAATTGGAACTCTGGGCTGGCTGCTGCAGATGGGGACAGAGCACTTATGGAAATGTCTAGAGTACTGTCCGTTCTTAACCTAGGTTGTAATCCCAGTCACATTATGTATGATAATAAACAGACAATGTATTGATCGGCTTTTATAGAAAGGATTAGAAAGATAGAAGGACACAGTAGACAACATGAAGAACAAAATTTGTAGTTATGGTGCGATAAATCGAACTTGTTCACCTTAAAATACAAATGCACCTCACTATGAAAATAGGTATACAAAAAAAAAAAACTCTTTAAAAATAAATCTATGGTAGTCTTCATTAGTCATGTCTATCGTTTTATTTATATTTAATATTAGAGAGAGAGAAAGAGAGATAGAGAGAGAGAGAGAGAGAGAGAGAGAGAGAGAGAGAGAGAGTCACACTGTTTCACCATTTTTTAAAAAAACTACAAAAAAATTGCATAAGGATTGCAGACTTTAGGATCACCACCTCAAGGATGAGAGTCATACAGGAGCAAACGTAAGAAACTTTGTTCAACCACATTAGACGATTATATTAGGGCACCTAGTAACCGCAGCTTGTTGTGGTGAATGTCGAATTAAGAATTGACATTACAGCACTCAGGACACTCCCATAAACACTCTGTCCCCTATCTTCAGCAGCAAGCGAAGAGTTTCAGTTCTGATGGCACCAGTACCTGTCTGATTCTATATCCATCTTGCCTTTCTCTGAGTGTTGAGTGCCGGCCAGATCCTCTGGTTACTCCTTGCAGCGCCATTCTCCTCAGACCATAATTATCTATTGTGCCTCTGCACTGTTTGTTCTCACCCATAGGACCCATAAAACGTCCAGCTTGTCATACATCAGTTCAACACCAAGGGGTGCAGAACCAGCCAGTAAGTCTGCCTGTTCATTTCCCAACACACTGGCATGGCCTGGAGAAAATATCCAAAGGACACTAACTACCTGAGATCTCTGAATCAGTGTTTGCCACTCAACACAGAGCAAGCCTGTCTCCATCTTTCTCAACATGCTCTGTGAGGCAGTTACAATTATGACATGTGTATAGCTGGTTCTCAACCCAGCAGAATGTAGCAGTGACTGCCTCCACCTCAATTCTCATTGTGTTGCACTATGTGAAGTCCCATCGTTTTTGCTGTGAACCCCTATGCGCTTTGTCTGCCTCTCAACACAAAGTCATCTGTATAGATAATCACATCAGCTGGGCTGGTATTCTCGTGAATCTTTTGTGGAACTTCTGATTCATTGTGGTGATGGTTGATTGCTATTACACCTGTACTAGGTTGTAATAGTAGTCGGTATGTATGAATATTGAAGCAGGCACTGTTAATTACATCTTTTCCCCATACGTGTTCCAGGGCCTCATTAGGGGAAAAACTAGAATAGACCCACTGCCTCCACAGCAAGCATGTTGTAAAAGTAAGTTAATTGGGGACTTCTTTCCAAGTCAGAGTCCTGCCTGAGAGGCAGGAAATCAACAATCTGCATACAGATAAGCCAGATCTGTAAAACAGATACACATGCAACACTCAGGTTCTGGAACAGGACCAAAGTCCTGAAGTGGATGAACAACCAGAACTCTCCACCAGAGTTTGCAACCGGTGAAGGCTAAGAAGACGGTATATGTGTAAGACATTTTCAGACATGAGTATTATGTCACAGGAAATACGTTTAAATAAACCATGTAGTTATTTCTTACCTTTTCTCATATTTTCTTCAACAGCTGAAAAATGACTTCAAGGTTGAATACGTCAGCGACGTATGGGGAATCGGTTGTTTGCTTCATGAGCTAGCTACGGGATATTCTGTCTGGCATGAGCACCGACACCAGGATTTTGTTGCATCATTGGTAAATGTGAAGACTGCTTTTGTGGGAAAACTGGCAAATTATTTTACATTTAGCATCTGAGAAAACTGGCATAATATTTTATTAATAGCATGTATTTGGTAGAGCAGAGACTAAACACTTGGCTTTGCTCTGAAAGTTATTAGATATGAACCAGCATCACAGCACTTGAGACATTCCCATAAACACCCCATCTATATCTTTAGCAGCGAGCACAGAGTTCCAGGTTAGATGATACCAATAGTAGCCTGATTGTATGTCCGTCTCACACCTCCACTGAGTGTTGAGCCTCGGCCAGATTCCCTGGTCACTCCTTTCTGCACCATTCTTTTTAGACAGTGATGATTTGTTTGTGTCTCTGCACTGTTTACTTCCTCTCAAAGCAATCTTACAGCTTACAGCTTGTAATGAATCAGTTAACCTTCAAGTGGTGCAGAATCAGCCAGTGTATCTGCCTGTTCCTTTCCCAACACACCAGCATTTTATGGAGAAAACATCTAAAGGACCTAGCTACCTGAGACCTCCGAAGCGATGCTTGCCACTCTGCATGGAGCATACCTGTCTCTACCTTTCTCAGTATGAGTCAGTTACAATCACAGCATTTGTGTGCAGCCAGAAAATTTTGGGATCACTTCCACGTTTAGGTAGATTGAAAAAAGAATACTTGGCTCCTAGCCTAAAATGAGTACCAGGATATGTCTGTGGAAGTGAAGTCAGACTCCACTAAGACAGGTCCCAAGCCATGCTGGAAAAGGAGGAGGGTCTGGCTGATCTTGAGTGCTTCTTGTATCTCCTGAAGTAGTGAGTAACCATGAATCAGTCAGACAGCAGGCAAGGAGGTAGCCCCACCACCATGCAGGCACAACAGACCAGTCACCTGTGTGCCTAAAACCATGGTTACAAGTTGTGACAGAAAACTGCTGATTGAGAAGTCTAGCGATCTTTCTAGTAAACCTTTGCACCCCAAGGTAGAAGAGGAGCCGCTAAATCAGTAAGTGAAGGCAGGTGGAGTAATGTTAACTACATTATGAATCGAGTACTGATTTGTAAAACATGGGTCAGACACCATACACCAGGTGCCAAACTGGTGTGAAAAAGGGCATTGTCTTACTTTACAGCATGTCTTTTGTGCGACCTTGATTTAATAAGTCATGACAGAGTATGCGTGTAGGTTACATATCTTTTAGAGGGAGGACATTGCAAGCAGACTCCAGCGTTATTTGGTATTTAGTTTTAGTAGACAGTTTTTACATTTAGTAGTTTGCCATTTCTGTCTGAACCTTCATTTCTCTATATCATTGTCGAAATAAATGCAAACAGGTCTGTAGCCAAATTGCTGACAGCTTGAATTGAACCATGTCTCGACAGAAAATGTTCACAACTCCTAAGCTACCAACATGAAGCCACGTAATAAAACTGCACGTACATACAGGACGTCACAACGCTGTAGTGGCAGTTTGTCAATGACCTGAGTGCAGCACAACTGAACGTTGTAATTATATTGGACTCAAGAGCATGCTTCCAAAAATAGAGACTGGCTTTCTACACTTAGAGTGGCTTGGATCGATTGATGAGACTCAGATCTGGAGCATGACATGGATTTTCTGTCCAGAATATTCAGGGCTGTATCGAATATTCGCTTCGGAGTCGAATAGTGGACCTAATAACTATTCCGTATTTGGCCGAATAGTCGCGGTCGGGCCAAATACGAATAGGTGTTACCTTAAACCCGTTTCTGGACTGGTGGGGAAAAAAAATATCAAGATTTCCCACCTTGTTTCATACTGTCAAGCGTTATCTTTGTGCACCACCTACAAGCGTACCAAGTGAACGTCTGTTTAGTGCAGCTGGAAATACCTTCAGTTAGAAAGATTTTTTTTTTAAAGCAAATGTCGCTTTCATGGATTAACTAAGCTGTCAGTGACAATTTACAAGTTTAGTTACTTGTTATAAAACTAAGAATACTATCATTCCTAGGTATTAGTTACCACAGACTGACTGACTGACTAAAGGATGCAAAACATTAAAAGGTTTTTAAATGTTTTACTATTCTGCATTATATTTTGTGAAGTAATTTTTTTTTTCGGCGTACATTTGACATTATGGATGTTTTTTTTTTAGATCTATTTTTTTACACGAAAGTGGAAGATGGGCCTCAGTTTGAATAGTGGGAAGACAGAAGCAATGGTGGTATCAAAGAAAATTATTATTCCTAAATGTGTAATAAAAGTCAATGGTTTTATTTTGGGACAAGTACAGAAATTTAAGTATCTGGGCACATGGATAACATCAGATGGAAGCTGCATTACTGAAATAAGAAACAGAATAGAACAGGCAAAAACTGCATTTTATAAAGTGAAGAACATCTTGTGCAATATATCCTTGTCATTGAAGGTTAGAAAAAGAATTCTTGCTTGCTACATACATCCAGTTTTAACATATGGCTGTAAGTCCTGGACAATCGGTAGGCAGGCTAAACAATTTCTTGATGCCCCGGAGATTTGGTTTTACAGAACAATGTTTAAAGTACCTTGGACAGAAAAAAAAAAAACTAAGAGGTTTTGATAGAGGCGGGAGCCCGAAGACAACTACTCACAGACATCAGAAGGAGACAGTCATCATTTTTCGGTCATGTTATAAGATGAGGGAAAATGGAACATGTGGTGACCACTGGAAAGATATAAGGAAGGAGGGATAGAGGTAGACAGCGAGAGAAGATTCTTGACAGTCTTGTTGCATGGCATGGAGGGGTGTTCTCACACAAACTAATACATACTGCAGGAGATCGCAGATTGTGGTGAGGCATAATCGCCCATGCCAGTCGGCAATGCACCTGATGATGATGATTCACTATTCATATTTGTATTCAGCCGAATAGTTGGTCCAGCTATTCGCATTCGGCCGAATATTGAAAATCACTATTCGCTACAGCCCTAGTAATAATCAGGCTGATTAGCTGCTGCTGCATTTCTAGTACAAGATTCACTTATTTTCCAAGAAAGAAAAAACCCAGTGTGCATTTTTAGAATGGTAAAAAAAAAAAAAAAAAGTAAAGGACCCTTTCCACGCCTTTAGGCGTATAGGGCATATAGGGCTAGACCTATATTTTTATAGACCAACGGCACAAGATGGGTGATGTGGTCAGCATCACGCCGGCCGCCTCTACTTCCCGGGATTGCACCCGGTACCCACTCAAGGCTGGGTCGACCTGGGAGCCAAGGAGATTTTTGAAGAAAAGTCTGTCTCCGCCAGGGAGCAAACCCACAACCTTCCGATCCGCGGCGCGCGTCTAGCCGCTCTGCCACGGCGACTCCCTATATAGAATGGTAGTAGATTTTAACCAAATTTTTTGTTACAAAATGTTACATGTAACGTCTCATTTTGAAACGCCTGTTAACCGGTGAGATGAAATGACAAATATTAAAAATTAACAGTTTTTTCCCTGTTGTCATGGATTTGCACTCATCTTCACACTCATTGTTTGGCACTTTTTGCATATGAAATTGCTGTGTCCACTAAGATTCAACCACTTGATGTCAGCATTAACCCTACAAAGTTGGCATGAGAGATGATTGGAACCAATGGATAAAGTCTTCTAGGGACAGTTTGACACCAACAGACGCGAAGAAACCAACTATAAGTTTGTGCCTGGGTGGAAAGGTCCTGGGATAAGGTGAAAATTGAGATCATTATCAAGTCATTCAAGAAATGTGGCATTTCGAATACAACAAATGTAACTGAGGATATAAAGACATGGGTTGGTCATCAGATACTGATGAGGATAAGCTGAAGAACTATCATATGGATGAGAGTTTTGATAGTATTGAGGAGTTTTTTGCATTCTCTGATAAATAAAATGTGAGTTCAATAACTTTATGTAATCATATTTTTTTCTTTGAAATTTCCAGTCCCAAAATCAAAATGCATCCTCCCTGTGTGGGTTCTAAGGCCCCATTGTGGGGAAAACGAGAACAGACCCACTGCCTCCCCAACAAACATGTCATAGGAGTCGATTAATTGGGCACTTCCTTCGAAGTCGGATCATCTGCCCAAGTGGCAAGTAACAACCAACTGCACACACATAACCCAGTAAAACCGATGTACACGCAAAGCCTAATTCCAAATGGACAAACTGGGACTTTCTGTTAGAGCTTACAGGCGAAAATAAAAAATAATAAGGAAAATGTGCATCTTTTACACGGAATCTCTTATAATTGGTAAATTTGTTAGCTCCATATTGATTGTTTTAAACTGCCTGTGAGAGTATAGTATTTGTTGAAAATTTTTTTCAGGTTGGGACTCAACCCCAGGTACCTCGCACCTGTCCTGAGTTGTCAGAGATGTTTACGGCTTGCTGGCAGGTAGGTAATAGTGTGTATGCTAGCCTTCTTTTCTGTGCACTGTGAACATCTGTGCATGTAAGTGCAGATGTGTGAATGTGATTATGAAAATATGTGACTCCCACTGTGCACACATGTGTGAATGGGGTTATGCACATGGGTGACTCCCATTGTGCACACATGTGTGAATGTGGTTATGCACATGGGTGACTCCCATTGTGCACACATATGTAAATGTGATTATGCACATGTGTGACTCCCATTGTGCACACGTTTGAATGTGGTTATGCACAATTCTGAATGTGATTATGCACATGTGTGACTCCCATTGTGCACACATATGTGAATGTGGTTATGCACATTTGTGAATGTGATTATGAAAACATCATATTATTTACATGATGACTAGTTATTTTAGTTTGATTGCTTCAAACTGTGATTTTGTTTCATCTGCAGCTGGACCCAAGCAAACGAGTACCAATGAATGACCTTGAGATTATGTTGATACAAGCTTTCAGTCATCATTTGGGAAGCTAATGAGCAAGGCCATGCTGTACCAAGCATACACCAAACGAGGAAAAGGATGTCGAGCATGAGGTAGACCAAGAACAAGAGGAATAAATAACATCAGAGAAACTAGACAAAAGTATTGTGTTTTTATGGTTTAAGTGGCAAAACACAAATAAGCAGAATATTTTATTTCCCTCCCCCCGTGTGGGTTCCGGAGCCCCATTGTGGGAAAAACAACAACAGACCCACTACCTACCAAAAAAACAAAACAAACAGCAGTTAATTGGAAGCTTCCTGCAAAGTCGAGGTGCATCAGCCGTACGGCAGGCAACAATCAGCTGCACATAAATAAACCAGTAAAACAGATGTACACACAAAACTCAGGCTCTGACACAAAGCCAAAGTCCAAATGGACGATCAACTAGGACTCTCTGCCAGAGCTTACAGCTGGTGAACAGACAAGAGGAGGAAGAAAAAAATCTCCCTCAATACTCAACACAGTAAAAGAGGACTTGAAGAAAGAGGTAGTAGTAAATGGAAGAGGTTTTGATAATACAGTCAACTCTTTTTTTGTTATTATTTGTACAGCTAGCAGTCAGAAACTTCTGGACAGTATACATGTTTTTCTGTTGATAGTAAAAAAAATTAAAGGAAGGGTCCCTTTTCCATGGCTTTCGTATAAGGCATATTTGGCTAGACTAATCGGCACAAGATGGGTGATGAGGTCAGCATCACGCTGGCTGCCTTTATTTCCCGGGACTGCACCCGGTACCCATTCAAGGCTGGGTTGACCTGGGAGTCATGGTGATTTTTTTTTTTTTTAAAGTCCGGCTCACCAGGGAGCGACCCCGCGACCTTTTGATTCACACGCGAGTGGCTGTTGATAGTACAAATATAAATTTGACTGGAACCAAGAAGGTGAAAGAATAGAGAGGAACAGAAGAGAGGAGCTTTAGAGAGTAAGATCAATAATATGTGGAAGAGGTGGGGGAAAAAGGCACAGTACGCATGTTTTCCTTTTAGTAGTACAACTAGAAAGAAATAGAGCAGATCAGAATAGAGGAGATTTAGAGGAAAAGATGAATAATATGTGGAGGAGTTGGGAAAAATAGTACAGCGTTTCTTCTAAAAATAAGACCTAACCTAAAAATAAAAAGTGGCATGGTCTTTCATGATGTCGTCTTGCAATAAAAGTCCTACCCTACTTATAAGTCCTAATTAAGATTGTCAGTCAAATGAATAGAGTTGAGCACTCGGGGCATTTCCATAAGCGCTCTGTCCCCATCTTCATCAGCCATCGCAGAGTCCCACTATCAGTGGTGCCAGTAGCAGTCTGATTATATGGCTGTCTTGCCTTTCCTCTGAGTGTCGAGTATCAGCCAGATCCCTTCATCACTCCTCGCTGTTATCACACCAGACTGTGATGATCAGTTTGCGGTTCCAAATTGTACATATGCTCTTGTAAGGCCTTAACCTTGCGTCTGCCTTATCATGCATCAGTATTCCACCAGGTTGTGCAGAGCCAGCCAGCCTGTTCACCTGTTTATTTCCCAATACACTGCCCTTCTCTGGAAAAAAGATCCAAACAATGCTTCAGATAGATAGATTTTGTTGTTCATTGAAACACTCGACAGAAGCAAACATCATGGCAATCAGAGGACTTATCCCTAAAAAAATATATCGAAGTGTATGACTGCTAACTACCTCCATGGGGCAAAAAAGATCCAAACAATGCTTCAGATAGATAGATTTTGTTGTTCATTGAAACACTCGACAGAAGCAAACATCATGGCAATCAGAGGACTTATCCCTAAAAAAAATATATCGAAGTGTATGACTGCTAACTACCTCCATGGGGCAAAAAAGATCCAAACAATGCTTCAGATAGATAGATTTTGTTGTTCATTGAAACACTCGACAGAAGCAAACATCATGGCAATCAGAGGACTTATCCCTAAAAAAATATATCGAAGTGTATGACTGCTAACTACCTCCATGGGGCAAAAAAGATCCAAACAATGCTTCAGATAGATAGATTTTGTTGTTCATTGAAACACTCGACAGAAGCAAACATCATGGCAATCAGAGGACTTATCCCTAAAAAAATATATCGAAGTGTATGACTGCTAACTACCTCCATGGCGCTCTTGTTGACTACACATCTAATGTAAAATAGGTTATTACATTAACCAGGTGCTCCTATCAATGTAAGGCATTTGTTACTATTTTTGTTTGTTTTTAGTTACTTCCCCAACCAGGCAGCTACTGGCACTTACAAAGTTCAGGTTATATTTACAATGCATTTTACAAAGCCACCCTGGCAACTCTTATTTTCTATGTGTGTATTTTTTGTTTGAGAGTATATTTTTATTATAACTGTTAGCCAAATTGCATATTTTATCTGTATTATATGTATTTTATTATTTTATTGCACAGTGAGCAGTTGGAGAATTTGAGTTAGATTGACTGTTTTTCCCTTTTTAGGCAGCTACTTGCAACTCAAAAGTTGCCAGTCCAGCGGCGGAAATCCCTGATGCCCTCCCTGTTCAGCTTCTTAGGAAACGTGGAGTAAACCTAAAAGAGATGAAGCCAACTAAAAGAGATGGAGACAACTAAAAGTGATGGAGACAGCTTAAAGAGATGGAGACAACTAAAAGAGATGGAGACAACTAAAAGAGATGGAGACAGCTTAAAGAGATAAAGCCAACTGAAAGAGATGGAGTCAGCTAAAAGAGATAAGACAGCTTAAAGAGATGAAGCCAACTGAAAAAGTTGGAGACAACTAAAAGACATGGAGACAGATTAAAGAGTTTAAGCCAGCTAAAATTGATGGAGACAGCTTAAAGAGATAAATAGAGACGGGTGATTTCTGCAGCAACAAACCTAAAAGAACTCTGACGAAGAATACCAAAGCCTGCCCTTGTATTCTATGCAGTCCTAGACTTATGAGGGATTTCTACAACTAGTTAGATGTATTTTTTCCCTTCAAAGATTACGTTGAAAAGTATCACAATGTTCAATGACCATATTAGCGGTTCCCAGTTAGTCAAGACCTGCAGAACCGTTCTTTTTTCTATGAAGATCGGCCATGGACTACGCACTTTTTTTTTAGTCAAACCAGAAAACTAATTATTTATAAATATAAATTCCCATCTGGGTTCCGGGGCCCTGTTGTTGGGAAAAACAAGAATAGACCCACTGCCTACCCAAAAGCATGTCGTAATAGTCGACCAAATGGGAGCTTCCTTCGAAGTTGGAGTGCATCTGCCTGAGAGGCAAGGAACCAGCAGTCTGTAAACAGAAGAGTCAGACCTGTAAAACGGATGGGCATGCAACACTCAGGTTCTGGAACAGGACTGCAGTTTAGAAGTGGACAAACAAATCAGAACTTTCCACCGGAGTTTACAGCTGGTGAATACGAAGAAGAAGAAGGTGATAAATTTATAAATCACAAAACAAATTGTATTCTAAAGTTAGGATTATTGTTGTGTGGTGAATGGTATCACTCACTAGCCGTAAACAACAGAGGAAAGTTCTGGTTATTCATCCACTTTTGGACTTTGGTCTTGTTCTGAAGCTTGAGTTTTACGTGCACATACATTTTACAAATCGGACTTAATTGTATGCATACTGTTAGTTTCTTGCCTCTCATGCATCAGCACTCCAACTCCATAAGAAATGCCCTTAATTATTCACCTTTTAGAACATACTTATATGGTGGGGGGAGGGGGCATATATTCTTCTTCTTTATTCTTTCTGTTGCTTTTTTTTAAACCCCCAAATGGGGCACTGGGAACCAACACAGGGAGTTTACAAAATTAATTTTTTAGGTAACATTAATGCAATTTAAATTGTTGTTGTTGTTATTGTTGTTGGTTGGTTGGTTGCTGTTGCTGCGGATGAAGTCTTTCTAGCAGTAATAGTCACTGTGTCACATGTGATTGTGTTTTTGTAAAGCTGCTCCTTTCCTCAGTTCTGCTGATGTATTTATTGCATTTAGTTTTACCATTCAGATTTGTAGTCATGGCTTTGTCACTATGACAGGATTGTGTACCGGTTCACACAGCTGACCTCATACTTAATTTTACCAGGTTCTGTCCATGCATTTAAGGTTCTTTCATTCGTTCATTTTATTGATTTATGTCTTTTGTTTAAAAAAAAAAAATATCCCATAGTATATTTAAATATTGCGAACATAAACAATACATTGCACAATTTATTGCCGGGCTATTTCACTATATCTTTCTAGGTATGTTACTAAAGAGTTACATTAACTCTTTCACTCCCAGAATCTCATAGCTGATGCCTGACTGAAGCAATAGTGATCACAACAAAAGCATGGGTATATTACATTCAAAGGGTATAAATACACAGCCCATTGTAGGTGACTTGTGTTGTTGGGTTGATTGAGTTTTTCCTGTTGATTGAGTTTTTCCTGTTGATTGAGTTTTCCTGACTGAAGATGCTATTTAGTTTATCCTCACTGGACATCTAACAAGTCCATAAGTGCTTGGATCCCATCTTCAGTACATCCCTCAGCGTGTGGTGACTGATAACACCAGTTTTGTGTTGGTTTACTATTCTTCCTTGGCTACCTGTATAGTGTTCATGTTTGGGGACACTCAAGTTTTGGAACAGCACTGCAGTCCAGAAGTGGACAAACAACCAGAACTTTTTGGTGGAGTTTACAGCTGGTAAACAGGAAGAAGAAAAAGAAGAAGTACAGTTTGAGTTTTCTGTTTTGTCCTCTTCTTTGTAATTGCATTTTATTATTTGTGTGTTGAGGGGGGGGGGGGGGGGGGGGGGGGTCTTTGTGTAAGCTTAAGGGAAGTGCCACTTAATAAGAGCTGGAGGCCAGTGACTTAGACTAACATCTGTTGGGCATTGAGAGAGTGCAGCCATAGAGCCATAGGAACAACACATGCATGTTTGTTTAGTGCCAGGACAGAATTGTATTTCTGAGTAATTATGATGTAAAGGACCTGTTTCTGTACCTTCAGGCATATTGGGCATGTAGGGCTAGACCT